AATAGCATGTGGTTTTAGCTGGTTAAACTCTCGCAGTTACCCCAAAGCACACTCTGGGGTCCCCAAGCCTTGGCTCTTGTCAACCTGGGCCTAATATTCACCCGAGGGATGCGTCTCTCAAGGGAAAGAGTGCACATTTCATTTCAATACATGAGGATTTCCGTGTGTAAGTGGGATGCATGGAATTCTCAGCTTGGCTGGATACTCTTAAACAACGGTGATGGGTATCTGCGTGCGTCAGAACAAAACATGATGAGCTCATTTACCACAAGCTGTTGACCTAGGAGGTGAAGTTTACTTTGAAATTACTTTACACAGACTTCAGAGATCAGTTGATAAGCATTCTTGTTCAAACTCTACATCGGGACTTGAACCCTTAGCACATGCTGATAGTCTGGTAGTGATGTGCATTCCGTCCAATCTGCCTGTTTAGATAAACGTCAACATCCACTGCATTAGGCTTGAAGTGAAGCGAGTTTCTCTCTCTCTCTCTCTCTCTGTCTATCTCTCTGGTGTCCTGGCCCACAATCCCCCATATAAATTAATCATTCACTTCGTGGCTGTTTGTGGGACTTTGCCCTGTGCAAATTGATTGCTGCCTTTACCAAATCATGCACAGTGCACTTAACAGTAATTATTTGGTGAGCATTTTTGACTTGGTAGGTGCAACATCACATGCAAATACTGTATTATTTAGTTAAATAATAATAAGCGCTTTGAGACGTCCAGCCAATGTGAAAGGTTCTATATATAATAACAATATTATGATAATCTTTGCATTTGATATAGTGCCTTATCCGTGTCATTGAGATGTCTCAAAGTACTTCACAGAATATACAGCAAAGTAGAGTGACTGTATATTTTGTGGGTGAAACGCAGCAGCCAATATTATTAATATTATTATAATAATAATAATCCTTGAATTTGATATAGCGCTTTTCATGTCGGGAGGATGACCCAAAGCGCTTCACAGAATATACTGTAAAGTGAATTGACTGTATATTTGGGGGCGAACGCGGCAGCCAATTGCGCACAGCAATGTCCCACAAACAGTCATGGATTGAAAATGACCAATTTATTATTGTTTTGGTTTTGGAGGGACTATTATTAGGCTCTGTGTGGAGTAAGGAAACTTGCCCAAGGTTTCGCCCTCTGCCTGGAATTGAACTCAGGTCTCTCGCTCGCAAAGCGAGTGCTCTAACCACTGAGCTACAGGACTCCATTATTAATATTAAGGAATTGAAAAGATGAACCCAGATCAATACTTTAGGATGTAACAAGACATTAGAAGAAAGGGGACAGGGGTTTAGAGTTGTAAAGGGCAATTTCAGGTCGGACACCAGGAAGTTTTTCTTTACAGGGAAGGTAAGTAATGACTTGAACAGGTTTGACAGGAAGGATGGTTAAGGCCAGGACATTGGAACTCATTTAAAAAGAACTTGATACAGGGCAAAACCTTAGGCAAGTTTTGTATAATCCACGCACCTTTGTTTACCTTGCAATAAGTAGGTTAGTCCTCTGGCAGATCACTTTCCTTGGATACTAATCCCTTCAAAACATGACAATAATTCAGTCACTCAATTTACAACTGTTTGTGGGACGCTGCTGTGCACAATTTGCTGCTGCGGTTCACCCACAAACTACACAGTCAATTCACTTTACGGTATACTGTGAAGAGCTTTGCGACGTCTCAACGACGTGATGAAGAGCTACATCAAACGTAAGGATTATTACCTTATTTTTATTACCTGCGGGCTACTGTGCTGCCAGAAGAGGGCAAAATCACCTCAGGCACCCATAGGTTGCTGGTTTGATGATTGAGCAAAATAATATTGCACCAGAAATCATATCTGTACGCAGAGCAATCTGTTTCGTTGTGGTTTTTCAAGGAAAGGTATTTTTTTCATTCAAACGAAAGATAACAAACCAAATTGGTGCCACAAGGCTGTTGTCCCATGTTGGTTTATCTTGTTTGTTCTCAGCGTCTCTCTGTAGTGATTAGCTGAGCGCACAGTGTGGGTTTGTCTTGGATCAAAAGGCTGTGGGTTTATGTCGCGATGAACTCATGGGCTAGGCCGAAACTGCATTGCTGGAGAAGACAACAACTTGCACTTATTTTGCAACCCACTACCCACTGCCTCCGCTTGACTGGCTCCAGACTCCTTCTTGTCCATTGGTGGCTATGGTTTCAGACACTATACCCCGAAACCCTGGAACATTCTTCCCTTATCCCTTCACCTTCCCCATTTACAGGTCACTTCCTCTTCGACTGTGATTACGATCACCTTCCCCCTACCTCAAGATAGGTGTCATGCTCCGCCTTCGAGACGTCGCAAAGAACGTTTCAGAATATACTGTAATGTGAATCGACTGTGTATATTTGTGGGCGAAACGCGGACAACAAATTGCGCACAACAGCGTCCCACAAACAGTCGTGGTTTGAGTGACCAAATTTTTTAAAAAGGGATTATTAACCCCAGAAAGCAATCTACCAATCGAATAACAACAGGGTTCCTATTTACTGCTAAGTAAACAGAAGCATGCGAAGTAAGAACATATGAAATTGCTGGCAAAAGAATACCAATGTCCATTTAGTTTGACTTCCACCATCCTGGCAGTCGCTTGACATGTTATGTCCCAAACTATATACTGTATCCTGAGATATTATTTTCTATTTACTGTAATGAAACAGCAAGATTGGTTCAGATGAAGAAAGCCCTCCAGTCGGATCTCATCCTTTCAACACAACATCCACCCCACCATTGTCCTCACACAAACTCAAGCTGCTTTTTAAATGAGTCCCAGAGTCCTGGCCTCAAACTGGAAACCCTGTTCCAATCCTGTATTCTTCTGGGTAAGAAAAACTTCTTGGTGTCTGTCCCAAAATTGCCCTTTGCAACTTTAATAAAAATGTGTGGTCACTCACTCCACGACTGTTCATGGGACGCTGCTGTGCGCAATTGGCTGCCGCATTTCGCCCACAAAACATACAGTCAATTCACTTTACAGTGAATTCATCTGTGAAGCGCTTTGAGACGTCTCCAAGAAGCGATAAGGCGCTATATCAAATGCAAGGATTATTATTATTATTATTATTATTGTTAAATCTGTGTCCTCTTGTTCTGACCTCTCCAGTTTATCCTGATAGCAGTAACCTGCCAACCCGGGTATCAGCCTAGTAAACCTACTCTGTAATCTTTCCATCGCTGTTAAATCCTTCTTATAACATGGAGACCAAAATTGGACACAGTGCTCCAAATGTGGTCACCAAGCTTTTGTACACTTTTCCTTGTAAAGGGGCTTAGATTTGTCCAGTTATTACACAAACCGGGTTAGCACACATAAACTCTGAGAATTGGAAAGTACGGTAGTGAATCACATCGAACTGTCTCAATTGGGTTGTGGTTTGTTTCTCGCTCCCGCCCCCACTCCCCAAACCCTTCTCTCTCTCTCTCTGAAGGAGTGGAGTCATTTGGTTAAGATCTATAGAGCCTTTTCTGGTGACGGTCTGAGTAACTCTATCTGACTCAACCTTCGCCTCTGAGTCAGAAAGTATTAACAATAATAATAATAATCATAATAATCCTTGCACTTGATATAGCGCTTTTCACGTCTTTTAGATGTCTCAAAGCGCTTCACAGAATAGACTATAAAGTGAACTATTTGTGGACGAAATGCGGCAGCCAATTGCTCGCTGCAACGTCCCACAAACAGTCGTGGATTGAAATGACCAGTTTGTTTTACGTATTATTAACAGACTTTTTAATAATTTTTAATAAGAGACAATAATAATAAATAATAATAAATAAATCATAATAAATAATAAATAAAAATAATAATAACTCGAGCCACCACATAGGAACTTGGACTCACACTCGCGTCTCGGCTGACATTCCAGCTGACGCTCCAGTGCAGTGCTGGGGGAGGTCCTGCATTGTTGAGAGACGCCGTCTTTCAGATGAGACGTTAAATCGTGGACTTGAACCAGGGAGGAACGATCTCTCAAAGCGCTTTACTGTGCAACGCAGTGACTGTGTATTTTGTAGGTGAATGCAGTAGCCAATTCGTGCCCCACAATGTCTCACAATCAGCCAATGAAGTGAATGACCAATTATTGGGGATTGTCGCCAGGAACCGGGTGAGGGAAACTCACTCCTCTCTTTGAATAGCGCCACGAGCTCTTTAACATCCACCCGCAAAGGCAGATAGGTCCTTGATTTATTGAGTTAGCTGAAGGTTGGTGGTTCCTCTTTGACCGTGCCTTCGATCAGCTTACCACTCACCCCCTCCTTGGCCCCCGACTCTCCTAAAGCCAGCCCCCGGCTAGGTTGCAAACGCCTTGGGACATCCTCCTGATGTGAAAGACGTAATAGAAATGCAATTTGTTGTTGTTGTTGGTACCTCTGACAATGCAGCACTGTATTGAAGCGTTAGCACAGACTGTGACTTCAAAACCCTGACATGAAACTTGAACCAATAACCTTCTGAATCAGAGGTGAGAATGGTACTCACTGAGCCAGCCTGACACCTGGACTAAATGGCCTGTTTCTGTGCTGTTTCCGAATCAATGTATAAATACTCCCATTTAAAAGCTGCGAAAGGAACCTGCAAAGAACTAACAGGAGAGAATGTTTGTGGAACAATTTAATATCTCAAAAAGAACACGCTTCACTTCTCACAAAGCTTGCATGCTGACATGTTTCTCCCAGTCACTTCACTTTACAGTATATTCTGGGAAGCACTTTGAGATGTCTTGCCGATGTGATAAGGCCCTACATCAAAATGCAACCTTCGCCCAATACTATGTGGAATTGGGTTGGCAGGTGGCGTTCTTCCAAGGAGAGAGTGCGTATTCTATTCCAACAATTTGTCTCTGGGATTTACATGTGTAAGTGGGATGGAATTGGATATTTACTTGAAAAGAAGAAATTTGCAGGGCTGTGGGGAAAGAACGGGGAAGTGGGACTAATTGGTAGCTCTTCCAAAGATCTGGCACAGGCACCATGGGCTGAATGGCCTCCTTCTGTGCTGTAGGATTCTCTGATCTGCAGAGTCCAGTCAGGCTCAACGTATCTTCCCGGCAGCAAAATTCCCCAGGCCTTGGAGCTCAATTGAGTCTCTGGGACCACGAGATCGCCAGCCACCCAACAGCTGCCGCAGGTGACTGCTGAACTGCTTGGAGGCGAAGCAGAAGATGAACGGATCTAGGCAGCTGTTGAGGCAGCTGAGGGACAGGGTGACCTTGTAGGCCTCGTAGCAGCCTCGGCCGTACAGCAACCTCAGGATGATGTGGAAGAGGAGGGTGATGTTGCTGGGGGTAAAACACACCACAAAGACTAGGACCACCAGGGTGGCCAGGCAGACTGCTCGGCCCTTCTGCCCCGAACCCCTGGCCTTGGGCTCTCTTCGGCACAGCCTGACGATCAGGCGTGTGTAGCAAAGCACGGTAATGGTGAAAGGGATGAAGAAAAGGAAAGTGATGATGCTGAAGATGAAGATGCCCCAGGAACCCTTGTCGGAAAACACGCTTCTCTTGAGAACGTCAAAGCAAGTGGTAATCCCGAGTTCCTCGACCCGGAATGTCAAGTCGCTATACTCCAGGGGGAGGAGTATGATCAAGGTTATAGCCCACATTACCACACAAATTGCCACCGCATACCTATTGTCCCTCCAGGCAGCGTACCTTATTGGATACAGCACCCCCACGTACCGCTCAACGCTGATGCAGGTCATGGTCAGGATGGAGCAGTACATGTTGGCATAGAAGACGGTGGTCACAAAAGTGCACAGCCCCTTCCCGAAGACCCAGTGGTTGTGGTTGACGTGGTAGGCGATCTGGAAGGGGAGGAAAAAGGCCAGCAGCAGGTCGGCCAGGGTCAGGTTGATCAAGAAGATGGTCAGCGGGGTCTTGGGCCGAGTGTGGAAGCACAGGAGCCAGAAGGACACCCCGTTGCACGGAAGGCTGATCAAGACCACCATGGAGTACACGACTGGGAGCCAGACCCTCAAGGCACCGCTGCTCAGCATCTGCAAGGTCTCGTTGTCCAACTGGGTTGTGTTCATCTCCACCTCGGGTGACTGCAAGCAACTGCTCTTCTGACCTGGATGGGCAAGGTCGGGTTAAAATAGTCCTCACGTTTGACACACCGCCTTTCATATCAAAGCGTCTCAAAGAGCTTCAAATGATTATTTAATAATAATAACAATCCTTGCATTTGTATTTTGCTTACATGAAAATGCCTACATGAAATTTTGCCTGCATGAAAATTGGGTTGGCAGGTGGTGTCCTTCCAAGGAGAGAGTGCGCAGTGCGCATTCCATTCCAACAATCTGTCTCTGGCACTTAAATGTGTAAATGGGATAGAATTGGATATTTACTTGAAAAGAAGAAATTTGTAGGGTTGTGGGGAAAGAACGGGGAGGTGGGACTAATTGGTAGCTCTTCCAAAGATCCTGGCACACCAATTGCTGGAGTGTATAACCAGCTATTATTATTATTATTATTATTAGGCCACAGGCCGGTGCTCGCTGAGGGAATCGAGTGGCCAGGTTGCTAGGTGGGAAATGTGGCAGAGGTGGGCAATGTGGCGGAGGTGGGCAATGCGGTGGAGGTGGGCAATGTTGCAGAGGTGGGCAATGTGGCGGAGGTGGGCAATGTGGTGGAGGTGGGCAATGTGGCGGAGGTGGGCAATGTGGCAGAGGTGGAGTAAGGCGGAACTCCGTGGGGAGGCGGGAGGGTGATATGCTCACAGAGACTGGTGCGGGAGAGGACACGGACTGCAGACTTCTGGACAGTCTGCAGATTGGGTACACATGAGAGAGAAGGGAGCGGTGTATAGGTGAGGGGAATAGAAGGGTGGGAGCCGGTGTGGAGTATAAATCACTCTATGTAACACTATCACTCCATTCATTAGATTCCGACTCGATTCCTCGCCCAAGGTCTAGTTCAAGGTCTTGTCAAGACCAATCTGTGTGGCCGTGCCTTTGGTCACTGTTCCTCTCCCTAACCCCCCTGGATCCCCACTCCCCAGCTCAGGTGCCCAGTCAGATAAGTGCCTTGGGATGTCCTCTCAACATGAAATGTGCTGTGTCATCCAAATTTGTATTTATTGTATTGTCGGGCAGAGTGGACAGGCTGAGAGTGAGCTATCTTGGGTACTGAAATAGGATGTGAATAATAATAATATTCCTTGCATTTGATATAGCCCCGTATCACGTCATTGAGACATCTCAAAGTCACAGGATACACTGTAAAGTGGATTGGTTGTGTCTTTTGAGGACGAAATGTGGCAGTGAGATCCACACAGTGATGTCCCACAAACAGCCATGAAGTGAGTGACCAATTTTATTTGGAGGATTGTTGGCCAGGACACCGGGAGAGAGAGAGAGAAACTCCCTTCTCTATTACAATGGGAATTTTAACGTCCACCTGAACAGGCAGTTAGGAATTTAGTTTAGCGTCTCAGCCGAAGGACCGCACCTCTGACAATGCAACACCCACCCAGCACTGCATTCGCCCACAAATATACAGTCAATTCACTTTACAGTGTGTTCTGTGAAGCGCTTTGGGACGTCCTCCCGACGTGAAAAGCGCTATATCAAATGCAAGGATTATTATTATTATTATTAATGTAGACTAACTGATTCCAAGTCCTGACATGGGGTTTGAATCCACAATCTCAGAGGCGAGAGTGTTAGACTGTGCCAGGCTTACACACTGAATGAGTGAAAGGCAAGATACTGCAGATTCTGGAAATCTGAAATAAAAACAGAAGTCGCTGGGAGCCCTCGACAGGTCAGGCAGCGTCTATGGAGAGAGGAAAGTGAGTTAACATTTCAGGTCAATGACTTTTCATCAGAACTCACGAAAGGTCATCGACCTGAAATGTTAACCCTCTCTCCTCTCTCCATAGCTGCGGCCTGACACACTGAATGAGTGGTTTGGAGTATGCATTAAGTGGTCATTTCATTACTCCGACATGTTTCATTTCGCTTGCTGTCTCAGCCTCTTTCCCCGAGCTGCATACCAGCTGAAGCAGCCTACGCATAATTTGGGTCTTAGTCACAAGCACAGCACAGCTCAGGCTGCCCGAGCTGGGAGCCCTCACCTCCTGTGAGAAATGGCTTGCAATTTACCGTCTCAGAGAATCTCACAGCACTTCACAAATCCTTTCAAATACGTAGGACTTTCTACCCCTGTTATAATGCGCTTCATTATTGCAATGAATCCAACAACACCTTGGCGATTGACCATCAAAACTCACACGTGGATATGTGGGTGAGACAGAGTCTCCAAACCAATCTGAGAATTCCATACATCCCCCTACACATGGAAATCCCAGAGGTAAATTATTGGAATGGAATGCGTACTCTCTCTCTCTCTCTCTCCCTGGAGGGACACATCCTGTTTACCTAATTCTAGAGGGTATTAGGCACAGGTTGGCACCAAGGCTTGGGGACCCCAGAGTGTGTGTTGGGGTAACTGCTGGAGTCTAACCAGCTAAACCCACGTAGCTTGTCATTGAAATCACTGTCTGGCAACGTTTCCCGCTGCTTGTCCAGCGAGGACCACCCATTAGGGGAAATTCTGTCTTTGGAGATGGATGGAACTTTTACCCCTGAAATTCGCTGAAAAATGCGTTAGCATAGAAGATCCCATGACAACAACAACAAATTGCATTTATAGAGTGCCTTTCACTTCAGGAGGACATCCCAAGGCACTTTGGACATTCAGAAAGAGAAGGGAGTTTCTTTCTTTCAATGTCTTGGCCAATAATCTCCAGATAAAATCGATCATTCCCCTCATGGGTCGTGGAGTCCTGTAGCTCAGTGGTTAGAGCACTCGCTTTGCAAGTGAGAGACCTGAGTTCAATTCCAGGCAGAGGGCGAAACCTTGGGCAAGTTTCCTTACTCCACACAGAGCCTAATAATAATCCCTCCAAAACCAAAAACAATAATAAATTGGTCATTTTCAATCTACGACTGTTTGTGTGACATTGCTGTGTGCAATTGGCTGCCGCGTTCGCCCACAAATATACAGTCAATTCACTTTACAGTGTACTCTGTGAAGCGCTTTGGGACGTCCTCCCGACGTGAAAAGCGCTATATCAAATGCAAGGATTATTATTATATTATTATAAACTGAGACCCGTCTACCTATTGGGACGTCCTCCCGACGTGAAAGGCGCTATACAAATGAAATCTTGTTGTAGTCAAGTGGCCTTGAAAGATTCCTTGTCATTTTTGGAAAATTGAAGTGAGTTTCTCTCTCCCGGTTTCTGGGCTAACAATCCCACAAATAAAAAATGTTCATTCTTAATGGCTGTTTGCAGGATCTTGCTGTGTGCAAATTGGCTGCCAGGTTTGCCCATAAAACATACATTCACCTCACTTTACAGTATATCCTGTGAAGTGCTTTGTGTGTTGTTGCTGTTGGCTGCAAAATTTCACAATCATTACACCTCACAGTAAAATTCCTTTTAGGAGCTTTGAAATGTTTTAACCAATGTGATATGAAATGCAAGGATTATTGCGAACAGTATTATTATTTTATTATAATATCACTGACGCTTTTGAAAAAAAGCCATCACAAGGTAATGGGAACTCAATATTCAGAGTCTGGCGATAATAATAATCCTTGCATTTGATATAGCGCCTTATCATGTCTTCAAGACGTCTCAAAGCGCTTCACAGATTACACTGTAAAGTGAATTGACTGTATATTTTGTGGTCTAAAATTGGATCCAGTCTTAGCCTGGGAGACCTTTTATCTTGAAGCTTACAGTTGGATGGAACAGTGGAGACATTTCTTAAATTCAGTCCTAATCTGGAAGTAATCTTAAATTTTATTTTGTCAGGGTAAAACCAAGCAATATTTCAGGCCCCAGATTTAGCAAAACACCCATCATTTCTTCAGTATAATTAGTGGTTCCGGGTACAGATAGTCATCTGCACCCCCTATCTGCAAGAGCGACTTCCTCTCGTACTATCTTTTAGTGTCAGCCTGGTACAGTTGGTGGCACTCTGGCCTCTGAGTCAAAAGCCCATGGGTTCAAGCCTCTACCTCAGGCCTTGGAACTCACATAATCTAAACCACAGTGGTTCAACTTGTGGCCAGCAGGCCATATCCTACGCCCCTGCCATTTCCTCCACTTCATCTGACCCACACGCTCCCTCCATAATCTTTAAATGTTACATTATGTACCTGGAAGGTTGTTTATGTGGCCTCAAGTAGGGCATCTGGCTTTCAGCAATCAAAAGGTTGAACTCCCCTGGTCTAAGATGATGCTCCAAAGCTGTGCTTGGGGTTTGCTTCATTGTCAAAGGTGTCGCCCTTTGACGAGACGTTAAACCGAGGTCCCGTGTGCCTGTTCAGTTGGATGTTTAAGATCCCGCGGCGCTATTCGAAAAGAGAAGGGAGTTTCTCTCTCCTGGTGTCCTGGCCGACAATCCCCCAAAGAGATGTCAGTCATTCACATCATGGCCGTTTGTGGCACATTGTTGGGTGGAAATTGGCTGTCATGTTCACCCACAAAAAAGCACAAGGTCACTATACTTTACAGTATGTACTTTGAGAAGTCCTCCTGATGTGAAAGGTGCTCGACCAAATTTAAGCATTATTATTGCAGAACCAAATAAGGCTCCCTCTCGTGGTCTGGTGGGCAACTGAACACCTCTTTGCACTTTGGCTGTACAGATTGGAAACAACTTTTAGCGCAGGGTAGAGTTATGCTGCCACAGCACAAAGTGTGTATGTGGGAGGGGAGTGGAGAGGGGCCACTGTCCAGGCCCCAAAGGTAATATAGAAGAGAGCAAATAAGAATGACTGCCCAGTGTTGATAAATTTACTTGACGTCACATTACTTTCAAATAAAGGTTTCATTAGCATTTGTGCAGACAAATCAGCGGCACTGTATCCTTTATACAGATAGACTAGGCCACCGACAGAATCAAAATCATATGACACACTACTCCTCCTCTTTCACTTTTAAAGGTCACTTTCTTACTAAGTTCCCTCAACCCCTGTACACATACATGAATACAGTCGAATCGATATTGATTCG